CAACCTTAACTACTACTAGGTATAGCAATGGGTCGTTTTGTTTCGTTTATTTTGCTGTACATTTTCTTCCGTAACTAAAGACGCGATCGCGTCCCAAAAAAGCTAATCGAATTGACCGTTATTGAGAAATTATTTTTCCGTGCTCTTTACGTGAAAGATCAAATCGGAACAATTATTAGGAGTTATTGGAGAGATGCTAGGCTTTGACCTGAGATGGTGGTTTTGACGCGAATACAATAAATCGATTTTTTTGGCAGCACGCAGTGAATTAACGGTAAGTTTATAAGTAATTTTGTAAATATCTTCTTAATTAGCCAGATTACAGCAATTTGTGGTGTATTTTTGAATTCTGCGTTAATTGTTATATGAGTATGGAAAATTTCACAAAGCTTGGCCTTTGCGCAGATGTTAAAAATTTTTTTTTAGTGGCATCACTGTTTTCGCTTTAAATCCAATATGTTTGCACTAGGAGACCGTTTTTCCCGCTGTATAAATAACTTACAATAATTATTAAATTAGCTAACGTTATTTTAATCATTAAAAAAAAAAAAATCAACAACCATTGTAGCATTTTTTCATGAATCTGTCATTATTTAGAGCTCTGCGTATTTTCTGTTGGAGATAGTTTTTTCTGATCACCCCCAAATCCCAATAATTATTTCGGCCATCATTGCGCATTTTTTAAGACGATTCTTTAGTAATTAACTTCAGATACTTAGAAAATTAATAATGTTAAGTGAGCTACCTTTTAAACATCTACAACTCTTGTAGCATTTTTTTAATGCGTCTGTTATTAATTAGAATCCACTGAATTTTCTGTCGGAATTGATAAATCTAAGTGGTCGAGAAACAACACCAGCGCTGACCGCGTTTCCGTTCATCAAGGCTGCCAGTACTTGGGCTTTCCCCCAAGAACTGGTTTTTTATACGACACCTTGGGTTAAGATTTTGGAATCTTGTTTTTTATTTTTTTTCAACATACATATCCTTATATAGAAGTGGGTAAATGTTTCATTACGTAACTATAAAATTAATTATAAAATATGTACTATTTATCAATTTTTTTTGGGCTTATATATTGCTTGGGTTTTTGGTCAGCTTAGATTCGGGTTTGACAAAAATCCCATTGGCAACCATCCCATGCTTGGCTGTCTGCGTGTGGCTGCTATAGATCCATTTCTTACTTTCAATGCTGGGTGGACATGGGAGCCAAGGTCATTTTTGAAAGACAAGAAAATACGGCCTGACCTGATTCCCAGAAATGAACACACCTGTTGTGTTTGCCCTGTTGTTAACACTGTCACTGACCCATTATGAAAACAGGCCGTGTACAACCAGTGGGCTCATGTTTTCTTCTACCATACAGAACGGAGAGTTGGGGGAGGGGGAGTAGAAGATTGAGAGAAAGTTGAGAAAGAGGGGGAGCAGGAGGAGGAGAGAGGAAGAAAAAAATAGACTAAGAAAAGAAAGTCGACACTGAGACATGGGGAAAAAAGGAAAGGAAAAAGAAAGGAAAGGAAAGGGAAAAAAAGAAAGAAAGAAAAGGAGAGATACCAGGGGAAGACGGTAGCAGGAAGGGGGTGCAGCCACCCTGGCATCATCACTGTAGGGGAGAGTGCAACCACCCCGGGTGTCATTACTGTGCGGAGATACGACCACCCCAGATGACATCGCTGTTGCGGATGGGGGAGGGAGGGGGAGGGTCCGGTATTTCTTAATTAGGTCACGTCAACTGACATTGGCACATTTATATGATCTTTATGTTCGCCCTGCCAGGACACACAATATGATATGTATTAAGCCAGGCTCGTTGGCAGACAGCTGTAAATGTATAAGGTTTTTGATGAAAAATAATCAGCCTGCGGACATTTTCATATGTTAAATAGGCGCATATCGTAGTGTATGTAATTGAGACGCATAAACGGTTAGGTCTCACTGTCCCGATTCTAGCAATATATGGTTGCTAAGAGATTCGTTCAGAAACAAAAGAGTTATGGCCGTAAAATGCAAACATTGAGTCATTTCATCTTACTTGGTCGCAGCCGGAAATCCATGTTTTGTGCATTTCCACTAAAGTTTTTCTGTAGTGGTATCCGCCATTAAAATGTTAACATCTCCGCTTAGAATCGACTTACAGGCTTAAATAAGGTATCATTGGATTTGTAATTTTAATCTTTATCTAGCTGTCATGATTTCGTAAGTAAAAATCCCAAAATATAAAACTTCACTAGCATCCCTACTACTACTATTACTGCCGATGCTACTGCTGCTGTCACTACGATTACTGTCGTAACTATTACCTTTATAACTACTGCTGATGCTGCTACTCCTGCTGCAAATACTACTACTGCTAGAACTACTTCTACTACTGCTGTTGCTGGTTTTACGTCTATAACCACCACTACTACTGCTACTGCTGCTTCTGTTGCTGTTGCTGCAACTACGACTTCTGCAGCTTCTACTTTTTACTGAGCTCAATACAGCCAATCATTCCACCAGTCGAGGTTGATAGATCAGGCTAGGATTCGAATCCATGAGGAGTGGGACAGTTTACAAATGTGTTTAAAGAATAAACACAAAACTCACCAGCTATTTGTCCAATTCTGTCTTCCCAAATACCGAAAGGAACGCCAACTCCAGACTGCAATTTGTAAGAATACCTCGGTGTTGTGCCCGCCTTTTTCTGCCGCTGTCTACGTGTGGTGTTCTCAAGAAAGCTGTCGGAGCTAGCCACTGACGACGTCTCTAACCGGGTTCGAATCTTCCTGAAGGAAGTCAAGACATAATGCTGTTTATAAATGTTACTTAGCAAACATTGGAACAGTAGTGAAACTTATTATGTATGTATGTATGCGACTGCATGTATATATATATATATATATATATATATATATATATATATATATATATATATATATATATATATATATATATATATATATATATATATATATATATATATATATATATATAATGTATGTATGTATGTATTAAGTGTATCCTTGCGTCCTTTTCAGGACAAAATTGTTTGTTCTTTGAAGGCATTCAAATCTGATCTCCATTGCTACAATTCCGTTGCGTTTTTGCCTTTGATTTCTCATGTCATCAAACATAGCTATGTCACTATATTAGTATGTATGTAATCATACATTAGTATGTCATCATACATTAGTATGTCATCATACATTCCTATGTCATCATACATTAGTATGTCATCATACATTCCTATGTCATCATACATTAGTATGTCATCATACATTCCTATATCATCATACATTAGTATGTCATCATACATTCCTATGTCATCAAACATTAGTATGTCATCATACATTAGTATGTCATCATACATTCCTATATCATCATACATTAGTATGTCATCATACATTCCTATGTCATCATACATTAGTATGTCATCAAACATTCCTATGTCATCAAACATTAGTATGTCATCAAACAATCCTATGTCATCATACATTAGTATGTCATCAAACATTCCTATGTCATCAAACATTCCTATGTCATCATACATTCCTATGTCATCATACATTAGTATGTCATCAAACAATCCTATGTCATCAAACATTAGTATGTCATCAAACAATCCTATGTCATCATACATTAGTATGTCATCAAACATTCCTATGTCATCATACATTAGTATGTCATCAAACATTCCTATGTCATCATACATTAGTATGTCATCATAAATTAGTATGTCATCATACATTAGTATGTCATCATACATTAGTATGTCATCAAACATTCCTATGTCATCAAACATTCCTATGTCATCATACATTCCTATGTCATTATACATTCCTATGTCATCATACATTAGTATGTCATCATACATTAGTATGTCATCAAACATTCCTATGTCATCAAACATTCCTATGTCATCATACATTCCTATGTCATTATACATTCCTATGTCATCATACATTAGTATGTCATCAAACATTCCTATGTCATCATACATTAGTATGTCATCATAAATTAGTATGTCATCATACATTAGTATGTCATCATACATTAGTATGTCATCAAACATTCCTATGTCATCAAACATTAGTATGTCATCAAACAATCCTATGTCATCATACATTAGTATGTCATCAAACATTCCTATGTCATCATACATTAGTATGTCATCAAACATTCCTATGTCATCATACATTAGTATGTCATCATAAATTAGTATGTCATCATACATTAGTATGTCATCAAACATTCCTATGTCATCAAACATTCCTATGTCATCAAACATTCCTATGTCATCATAAATTCCTATGTCATCAAACATTCCTATGTCATCAAACATTTCATGTCATCAAACATTCCTATGTCATCAAACATTCCTATGTCATGTATACATTCCTATGTCATCAAACATTTCTACGTCATCATACATTAGTATGTCATCATACATTCCTATGTAATCATACATTCCTATGTCATCAAACATTCCTATGTCATCAAACATTCCTATGTCATCAAACATTCCTATGTCATCAAACATTCCTATGTCATCATACATTCCTATGTAATCATACATTCCTGTGTCATCAAACATTCCTATGTCATCATACATTCCTATGTCATCAAACATTCCTATGTCATCAAACATTCCTATGTCATCAAACATTCCTAAGTCATCAAACATTCCTATGTCATCAAACATTCCTATGTCATCATACATTTCTATGTCAACAAACATTCCTATGTCATCATACATTCCTATGTCATCAAACATTCCTATGTCATCAAACATTTCTATGTCATCAAACATTCCTATGTCATCATACATTCCTATGTCATCAAACATTCCTATGTCATCAAACATTCCTATGTCATCAAACATTCCTATGTCATCAAACATTCCTATGTCATCAAACATTCCTATGTCATCATACATTCCTATGTCAACAAACATTCCTATGTCATCATACATTCCTATGTCATCAAACATTCCTATGTCATCAAACATTTCTATGTCATCAAACATTCCTATGTCATCAAACATTCCTATGTCATGTATACATTCCTATGTCATCAAACATTTCTACGTCATCATACATTCCTTCATCTCTTTCTATAATGTCGTTTTGAGAACAGCCGTGGCCTAGCTCCTTAACGCCTGCCTGTGGATTTGGAGGTCGTGGGTTCAGGTCAAAATGATACTGTCTCTCATGTCGACTCAGCATTAAATAGCTGCCAGGTGATGTTCTGAGAAGTAAAGGCGGTCGGTGTGATGTTGACTACATCGCCCTCTGAGTGCCGACTGATATATAAAATAGGTCTAGCCCTATATGCCCAAAACGCCTTGGGGTGTGTTAAACGGTCCTTTACATTTATTTTATTTTACTGACCTTTTCATTGTTTCCTATAACGAAGACAGACGGGTATGGGTAGGGGAAAGGAGGAGGGGGTGGGAGGGGGTGGAAGGGGGGTGCTTACTTACTCTGACAGGATCGTTTTGTCCCCAATCGTCAGCGGATACTCCGGGAGAGAGGCCAGAACGTGATGGTAGACACTCAGATCGTTGGTGGCTCGACTGACTGCAGCAATCTCCGGGAACCAATCAATTCTGGGGGAAGACATGACTGAGTCTTATTACATCTATGCACCATTACATTTTCCATCTATATGTTGAATAAGAAAAACAGAAGTAATTGTAATTACAAAGAAAATTTACACTCCAAAATACAACATCAATGTAAATGGGACAAACCTATTAAGTACTCGGATACCCTGATAATATCAGATGGGAGATGTATTAAAGAAGTTAAATGTAGAATAGCTCAAGCAACGGAAGTGTTTTACAAAATGAAGTATGTTTTATGCAGTCCACCTTTGTCAATTGTTTGTCAGTTGAGACGCAAAAGAGAATTCTTTAAAAAATCTGGTCTTGGTATACGGAAGTGAATCATAAGCAGTTGGTAAATTATTAAAAACTTATTTGGAAGCTGCGGAGATGTAGTTTTTTAGATGAATGATGAGGATACCATGGACAGATAAAAAGCGTCATGAATACGTCTTGAACAAAACTAACTCACTATAAGAACTGATTGCCCACATCAGAAAGGTATAATTCTTTGCTCATTTGATGAGAAGGAGAAAGCTAGAGTACATCGTGACAGTAGGAAAGTTGGAGGTGATGAGAGGCGGAGGGAGACCTGAGAGAACAGATGCTGGACAGTTTGACATCCTGGCATAGAGGATCATCTGTGTCAGAGTTGATTGAAAGTACACAAAACAGAAGGCTGTGGAGAGATATGACTACCAACGCCACACGACATGGACTTGAAGAAGAAGGAGAAGAGATATGTTCTTATGAAAATCAGTCTGTTGAGAAATATGTCATGCTATCCCAATCGACGTCACTGCAAATTGGATAATGTTATATTATTACACTTGACGTCACAGCACAATGGACATTGTCATGTTATTACGATCGACGACACTGCACATCTGACATTGTTATATTACCACAATCGAGGTCACTGCACACCTGACATGTTTATGTTACCACAATCGAGGTCACTGCACATCTGACATTGTTATATTACCACAATCGAGGTCACTGCACACCTGACATGGTTATGTTACCACAATCGAGGTCACTGCACACCTGACTTGGTTATGTTATCACAGTCGAGGTCACTGCACACCTGACATGGTTATGTTATCACAGTCGAGGTCACTGCACACCTGACATTGTTATGTTATCACAGTCGAGGTCACTGCACACCTGACATTGTTATGTTATCACAGTCGACATCACTGCACACCTGACATTGTTATATACCACACTGGACGTCATTACACAATGGATATTGTTTCGTTATCACAGTCGACGTCTCTGCACATTAGGCATTGTTATGTTATCATAGTCGACATCACTGCGTATCTGACATTGTTATGTTATCACGTAGTTGCCTGGTAAGCGCTATATCATTCTGTATTTTTTTACACATCACAGATGCTGTTTGTGTCCATGCTGATCTTGACATAATGGAGGTCTAGAATTATGTTTTATTGTGGTCAGTCTATTCATAGTTAAGTTTTATTGCGGCGAATCTTAAGAATTATGTTTTACAAAAGATGGAAGAGCAAAGAAAAATATATTGAAAGTATCAACAACAAAAAAGAATACACGCAAGACAGAAAGAAAAAAATTAAAGAGAATTCATAAGAGATTGAAAATAAAAAAAAGTCATAGGCAGAAAGAGAGGAAAAAAATTAAAAATTTAATTAAAAAATAAACAGAGAACGAAAGAAAGAGAAAGATAAACAATGAAAGGAAGGCGAAGAGAAAGACACGAAAAACAGAAAAAAAGGAAAGACAGAAAGAAAGAGTTTCCCAATCTTTGTACATACCCAGGAGAAAGATGCGCAAATTTGAGACGAAACAAAAGTTCCTCTTCATTAGGCGGTCTCCCGTGATAGGCTTCCTCTTTGACAGGTCGAGGGACCGCTGAATGTAAGATAACCTGAGGACTCGGTGGAGCAGCTGCAAGAGAATGTGAGAAAATGATACATAACTAACAAAGATGTGACGGTGATGACAAGCTATGAAGTGGGTAACAAAGTAGGATTGAATTACAGGTGACGTTCAGAAAGTAATTGTTAGTTGTGTATCGTTTGAAGGAAGTTGCAGAACTTTCCCCAACAAGTTTTGGCTGTTGTGGTTTTTATAGACAAATTGTACCTTCATTAGTTTTGCGTTTGCTTTCTGAGCGTTCGACTCTATGTACCACTGTAAAAACCAACGCAAGACAAACCGTCCGCAACTGGGATCAAACCTGACTCCTCGGTTTTACGATGCTCGTTCGCAACACCTAAGCCACAAACGCAGAAAGATTTCTGTTTCTTTCCCTAGTGAATGATGAATATCGAAACATAAAATGTTGATCACTTTAAATGTGAAATTCCTCTCTTCTATGTTGGAAATGTCACCTCCATTTCGACTACACGAACAGCTACAATAATCGGCGATATGGCACGTGATGACAATGTACGCTACAAACAGCCAGTTGTTGAAACTATGTGAACATTCATAGACGTTTGAGTGCGGAATACTGAGGTTGTGCAGTCGATAGGAGCTCCGTTCGTCTTTAGATTCATGGAGTTAACGCTTCAGAAAGTGGAAAGACCTGAGAATGTTATTCATGCTGTAAAGAAATGGATACACGACAGGACAAACCTTGACACACGTAAATTGTGTATATATCCTATATACCACATTTATTGTTTCGCGTTGAGCTAGAATGATAGATGTAGGCAGAGACGATCTAAACAATTACTAAGTATAAAGGTCACAATGAGCATAGTCAAGCCAAAAAAAAAAAAAGTCAAGGTCCCTTTTTCGCGCCTTTAGACGTAAAGGGCATATAGGGCTAGAGCTATATTTTTATAGACCAATCGGTACAAGATGGATGATTGGGCCAGCATCACGCCGGCCGCTTTTACTTTCCGGAACTGCACCCGGTACCCACTTAAGGCTGGGTCGACCTGAGAGTCAAGGTAATTTTTGACAAGAATCCGGTTCCGCCGGAAGCGAATCCATGACCTTTCGATTAGCACGCGAGGGTCTAGCCGCTACGCAACGGCGACTCCCATAATGAGTATACTGTCATTTAATTTCATTATTTTGCACAAATAGATTAAAAGCAAAAAAAATCTAAATAAAAAAAAAAAATTTAATAATATATATAAATTAATAAAAGCGTCACTACCTTTTAAATGCTGCTCGTATGCATTGGTATAACTGCGTTTGTATTACTCAGACCTTTGAGAAGACCCTTAAGGGAAGCAAAGAATAGTAAACCTACACATTATCCTCATGTCCTAACAGGTTATTACGGGAAGGGCCGGGGCTGGATGTTGGCTTCCTCATCCCGTAAAACACAACAGTCCACAAATACAATCATCATCATCATTATAATCATTATCATAAAACCCCTTTTGCCGTTGAGCGAGGTTGGGTGAAATAATTTTCGATCCACTGCACATTGGCTGCCACTGGCTATTGTCCTGCCGTAAAGTCGTAGAGTATCTTTAATATTGTCGGTCCACTATTTCCGCCGCAGTCCTCTTGCTCTTGTAGCTGGTCTTCTGAGATGTAGTGCTTGTGATGGTATTTGATCTTGCTGCATTCTAACGAGAAATCTAAAACACTTAAACTGCTGTTTCTCGATGAATCTCGTAGAAGGTCTCGTTCCCACAATTTGCCTGATAGTTTCATTATTAACGCGATCTCGTATGGTTATGTTGGCTGCTTTTCTCAGGCACCTCATCTCGCAGGTGGTGATTTTGCCTTTATGGGCTTTAGATAGTGTCCATGTTTGGCATTGGTATCTTAATGTTGGAATGAATATGCTGTTAATAATTTGTCTTTGTGCACTCATAGTTATGCTTGGATGTCTTAATAATGGTGACAGTTGGTATATAAGTGCACTTGCTTTCTGACATCTGGTTTCCATTTCTGTGACAATTCTATCATCTTCTGTGATCATTCTTCCTAAATATTTAAACTCCCTAACTTGATTCAGAGCAGAAAAATTCAACTGTTTGTAGTGGGGCAGGGGTTCTACTAACTTGCATTGTTTCGGTTTTGTTTCTATTTAACTTCATGTTGTATTTACTGTATGCTGAGCTTAACCTGGTAATGTGGTCTTGCAGTCAATCTTCTTCAGGGTAGAACAAGCACTTGTCGTCAGCAAAAAGTAGTTCATTCAATGTGGGTGAACGATAACTTTTCCTGATGTGTGTACTTCTTCATGATTATAAAGATCTATGTTGTCTGTATCAGAACTTGCTTTTTTTATAGATATTCTGCCTATATTATTGTTTAAAAAAATGTAGATAGAGCACACATCACTGCCTCACACCTGTGTTGACTGTAAACATATCTTATATGCTTTCTTATGTTTGTATTGCACTTTGGCTTGTGTGGTACATGGCTATGATGTTCTCTAGTAACTGACCTTGTACCCCGTAGTTCTATAGAACAGATCACAGTTTGTTTATATCCACTCTATCAAAAGCCTTTTCCTGATCTATAAACACAATATTCTGTTTGGTATTGTACTCAATGGCTTTCTCACACACTTGCCTCAGAGTGAATAATGCATCTGAGCATCCTCTGCCTTTTCTGAAACCTACATGCTTACATAAATATCTGATACATGCATACCTACATACACGCATAATACTCACATATATGCACACACACAAACACATACATACATACATACATATATACATTCATATATACATACATACATACATACATACATACATACATACATACATACATACATACATACATACATACACACACACACACACATACATACATACAGACAGACAGACAGACAGACAGACAGACAGACAGACAGACAGACAGACAGACAGACAGACAGACAGACAGACAGACAGACAGACAGACAGACAGACAGACAGACAGACAGACAGACAGACAGACAGACAGACAGACAGACAGACAGACAGACAGACAGACAGACAGACAGACAGACAGACAGACAGACAGACAGACAGACAGACAGACAGACAGACAGACAGACAGACAGACAGACAGACAGACAGACAGACAGACAGACAGACAGACAGACAGACAGACAGACAGACAGACAGACAGACAGACAGACAGACAGACAGACAGACAGACAGACAGACAGACAGACAGACAGACAGACAGACAGACAGACAGACAGACAGACAGACAGACAGACAGACAGACAGACAGACAGACAGACAGACAGACAGACATACATACATACATACATACATACATACATACATACATACATACATACATACATACATACATACATACATACATACATACACATACAGACATACATACATACATACATACATACATACATACATACATACATACATACATACATACATACATACATACATACATACATACATACATACATACATACATACATACATACATACATACATACATACATACATACATACATACATACATACATACATACATACATACATACATACATACATACATACACATACATACATACATACATACATACATACATACATACATACATACATACATACATACATACATACATACATACATACATACATACATACATACATACATACATACATACATACATACATACATACATACATACATACATACATACATACATACATACATACATACATACATACATACATACATACATACATACATACATACATACATACATACATACATACATACATACATACATACATACATACATACATACATACATACATACATACATACATACATACATACATACATACATACACATACATACATACATACATACATACATACATACATACATACATACATACATACATACATACATACATACATACATACATACATACATACATACATACATACATACATACATACATACATACATACATACATACATACATACATACATACTTACATACATGCATTACTTACATACATGCATGCATACATAGATAACAATTATATATTAACAATTAATTATAATATACATAAATCCTTCTAACTTAAATACAAAAACCTATTTACATTCAAAAATAACCGTCTGTTTCACCAGGGCAACAGCAAATTTACGACCACGTCCTTTTGTCTGCCCAATTCTGGACTGAACCGTTGGTTTTAGTATAGCATCCATATAGCAGAGCATTCTGCGTTTGTCTGAGGTATGCAGAATTTGAAATGCATCGTCCTTGTTAACAGTGTGATTAGAATTCACATAATTTGGCCTACATATGCCGCATTACAAGTACTTTAACCGAATAAATACAGTTTGCTCTGGCAAAAGCCGTCAACGGTTCTTTCACTGCCTGAGTTGAAACTACGGTAGTTTTAACATCTGATGACGGGAACGGCAACATCGAAAGTCTGCGTAACTGCTGTTTTCAGCCGGGCATATAAACGTTACTCAACGCCCTCCCTTTGCAAGGCTAGATGAACATAAACATTGTTTTAAAAATTTTATTTGCATCAACACTGCTCTGGTGGCTGGTTTGGGTGGCTGGCTGAGGCGCTCAATATTCAAAGATTCGTTTGGACTGGTTGCATTTGTAGGTCAAGTGAATCTAAATCTCAATTTCAACACAAACAGTATGCACAGATGGGTACAAGAATGGATGTCCTGGGGAAGTCAAGACGGCCGGCGTAATGCTGACCATATTACCCATCTAGTGGTGATGGTCTGTAAAAATATGGTTGATCTTCCCATATGCACAATTCGGCCAGTTTAAACAGATGGTTCAGTGTTGAGAGGAAAGAGAAGTGCTTAGGAGTTCGTAGCGAAAGCGAATGGAAAATCTTAAGTGCAAGACAGCCTGGCACATTACACCACAACATCTAGCATGAGGATGGAGGTGGAGGCGGTCACTGCAGCTCTCCGGTGGCTAGAGAACAAGATGCATAT